TTAGCTAGTTCACTTAAGCAAAATAAATGATAACTGATTAATAACAAATAGCAATAACGAATAAAAAACATAATGAAGCTTATGTGCATTTCCTCTTCTGTTGTAAGCTTTGCTGATATTTTTCTTCCTAATTATCAGAATCAAGTTCATGTTCCTTATTTCTCAGGAAGTCTGAATCCTAGATGAAGAGAAGAAAAGTCAAATTTATTATAAACATAGAAATAAATATAACTAAATACTCACGCGATTTTGTTTTTGTCCGATTATTAATCTGGCATTCATCTCACCCAACAAGTGCTGTTTAATGATGGTTTTTTGTAATTCGAGATTTTGGAAAAATGTTTCTTTTGTTGTGCTCAATACATGTTAAACCTAAAAATAAACTTTTAGTGTATTAAGAACAGATGCGATTAAATGTCAAGCCAAAATACTAACCTGTTCAACACTGATTTGATCTTTCAGATCATTTAGTTTGTCTTTCTCGAATCATATCCAAATTATTAATTATGGATACTGTTAAACAAAAAAGTCACTAAAATTTTTGAATGTACCAGATAACTTACTTGTTGTAGACGTGATTTTTCTTTATAAAACCTGTTCTTGCTTTGAATAACTTCGTGCAATTCTCAGAAATCTTTTATTTTTTTGGAATCTTTATCATTCTAATAATATTAAGAACAACTAATGAAAAAAAACATAACCAAGCTTGCCTGTTTATAAACAGAAATGCGGTTCTTTCCCACTGTCAAACAGCATTTGGCAAGGTAGTTTGTGAGTTGTTGTCACTGGCCCACTAATATCATGCTCACCAACAGAAATGCAGTTCTTTCCCACTGCCAAACAGCATTTGATAGGGTAGTTGATGATAGAGCTAGGCAATACAGACAGGTAAAATAAATACCTTAAATGAAATTTTCCATTTGTTTACTTGCTCCACAATCTCACATGAATCAGATAAGTATTCTGTAATAGTATCTAGTTCTTCACTGTAACGGTGGTGCTCTGTTTTCGAATCACTCAAATTGCCTTCACGTAAACGGAATTCTAAAAATTTTATAAGTGAAGGTTTTTCCATACTCTCTCAGAAAGCTATATTCATAAAATAAGTTCAATATTATGAAACAAAAGAAACAAAAGAAAAGGCATGCTTTGCTTACCAGGATATTTTAAAGCATTACGGTACTCAGAAAGCAGTTGCATTGAATTAGGGTAAATGAGAAAGTATGAAAGTTTTTTTTATAATATATCAAATAAATCTTCTCCAGTATTGCCAACAAATTTTTGTTAATCACGTGATGATCAATAAAATTGTTTAAGTTTGTTTATATTAGAGTAAGCATTTAAATTAAAGTTGAATATTAAGGGGAATATAGTAAAATTACTCGAGGAATTTTTTTTGTTAATGCATAAAGGATCATTTCTTAAGCGAATTTTTAAAGGGACATTTGTTTTGAAATTTTTTTGATTGCGTGATGTTATATCAAATTAAGATTCTTTATTGGATAATTTGTTGTAGATCATCACATGATCGACAAAATTTATCATAGTTTATATATTAATTTTTGTTGGTGATCCTGGGGTACAAAAGTTTCATTTTTGATAGATCTGCAGTTACTTTTTTGATAGCGCAGATCATACCCTGAATTTAGATAGCATTTTTAATATATCATATTCTATAGAATTTAAAAATTTTCAAGAATTTGAATAAAGATATCTAGATGGTCACCCAACCTAATTTAATAAATTTTTTTTTTATTTTGATTTGACTATTCTGTAGAATCAAAATAAAAAAAAATTCATCGAATTTGGCTAGGTGGTTGCTAAGATAATTTCACTCAAAGTTTTATACAAATTTTGTTACAACCATCATTTTGATAGATGTTTCAAAACTTTGAGCGATAATATTTCAACAACCACTTAGCCAAATTCAATGAATTTTTTTTATTTTGATTCTACAAAACTATAAAACCAAAATAAAAAAAATTTTATCGAATTTGGCTAGGTGGTTGCTAAAATATCATTGCTTAAAGTTTTGAAAACATTAAAACGTCAATCAAAATAATGATTGTAACAAAATTTGTATAAAACTTTGAGCGAAATTATTTTAGCAACCACCTAGCCAAATTCGATGAAATTTTTTTTATTTTGGTTCTATAGTTTTGTAGAATCAAAATAAAAAAAAATT